GAGAATACTCCCTCCGTCTAAAAAAACAAACATATAATAATATAGTACAACAAATCTAAACATTAAGTTATTTTTTTTTGGAACGGAGGGAATATAGAAGACATGTAGTCGTTGGCAGGAAATTTCGTCCCTTATCGGCAAGCACATATCTCACTCGAAAATTTCGGGTTTTTCCATTTTCCAGAATTTGATCAAAGTTTATTTAAATTCATTAAAAAATCATCAAATTTTCAAAAAAAAAAAATTGAAACTTCGGTTCCCCCACCCCCAACCCGGGCCGCGCCAAAAATACAATTTCGAGATTGCTAACCCATGTCGTTGGTTAATCGTAAAGCATGTGCTTTGAATTATAACAGTGGGGACTCTATTAGATGTCTCGTAGTTTAGAGTTGTGCTCCATCTTTTTCATATTACAAGGCCTGGTTTAGTTCCCAATTTTTTTCCCTAAAAACATCACATCGAATCTTTGGACATATGCATGGAGCATTAAATATAGATAAAAAAACTAATTGCACAATTGGGGGAAATCGCGAGACGAATCTTTTAAGCCTAATTAGTCCATGATTAGTCATAAGTGCTACAGTAACCCACATGTGCTAATGACGGATTAATTAGTCTCAAAAGATTCGTCTTGCGGTTTACAGACGAGTTATGAAATTAGTTTTTTTATTCGTGTCCAAAAACCCCTTCCGACATCCGGTCAAACATCCGATGTGACACCCAAAAACATTCTTTTCGCAAACTAAATATGCCCTAAGTTATTTGACTTTTTTCTTAGTCAAAATTCTCTAAGTTTGATCAAACTTATAAAAAAAATTAGCAATATCTACAACACCAAATTAGTTTTATTAATTAACATTAAATATGTTTGTTTTTTATTGCAAATCTTATTATATTTTTCTATAAACATGGTCAAATCTAAAGAAATTTAACTAATAAAAAATAAAGTGACTTATAATATGAAACGGTGGGAGTATTTAATTGAAGCTGTTGAGCAAGAGAGTAGAAACTTCGCTATGATATAGCAGTAGCAGTAAAGGGCAGAGCTAGAGTATTCCCATGAACCGGGTCAAGAAAAAATTATAGCTATACCTGACCTATTTTTACCATATGTACACCCCTCTCAATATAAATTTAGACACCCGTATTAGCTTAAACTTGATATAAAACAGAGTAAATTAAACAAGTGGCAACCCCTCTTTCTCGCTATAGCTCCACCCGCTGCAGTTTACCACGTCAAGTTCAAACTTTTACCTTTATCTCTTGGTAAATTTTGGGTGTGTTTAGTTCACACCAAAACTAAAAGTTTGGTTGAAATTGAAACAATGTGATGTAAAAGTTGGAAGTTTATGTGTGTAGAAAAGTTTTAATGTGATGAAAAAGTTAGAAATTTGAAGAAAAAATTTGAATCTAAACAAGAGCGGCTTTATAATGTTTAGTCCTGATTCTTTCCGCAGGCTGGAGATGGCCAACCAAAGAAATAAGCTATCTATCGCTAATCAGCTGTCGGCGACGGGCAGCGGCAACTATGCCAGCCACCTCCGCTCCTAGCTCTGTGTAGTGACGCCACCCCGCACCGCATGGTCGCCCTTGCGAGGCGCAAAACTTGGAGGGTTTCCAACTGATGTGTAAATTTAAAAATTATCATCTCATGTTTCTACTACCGTTACGTTAAATATAGTGATAGTACGAATAGGTCTTATCAATCAATCTATCTATTATATAATAAAAAATCATTAAACTTCCTATAAACGCTACTAGGCCGCCACGTGGCATCCTATAAACGCTCATAAGCCACCACGTGACACTCTAATAAATTAGAGAAATTCTTAAAATGACACAACATCTAACCGTTGATTTTTTTTATTAAATTTAGTGGACCAATTATTTATAACCATTAGATTTATTAGAAAAAAATCATCTCCTTATCCCTAGGCCCACTTCGGCCTGTTGGCAATTGCAAGTACGTACGTACTTCTGCTCAGAAAACCCACCTCCCTTTTCATCTATTTTTTCTTCTATTTTCGTGCTTTTAGAAAAGCATAATTTTAAGTCAAACAATTAACCAAATGTAACATCTAAATTAGAATACTAATATTTGATCTGCTTATATCGTTAGATATTTTACATTTAAAAACTTATATCCACTTTAATTCAACTTCAAAGAGAAATATGTCATATTAATTGGGGCTATATTTTCTAACTTTTGTGTGCCATTTAAGTAATTATAAAATATAAAATATAATGATATATATTTTATCATCGTATATAACTTGGTGATAATTAAATTATATCTAATAAAAGTAAAATGAACATATCTTTGAGTAATATTAAAAAACAGCCCCCCCAAACATTGTAACACAATAAAAAGTACACATCTTATAAAAGCTCCTAAAATATTATGTCATTCTCTTAAATCGGAAAAAATATACTCTTAAATCGGAAAAAATATACTCTTAAGATATTACGTTGTTCTCTTAAATAAGAGAAAATCCTAAAAATTCTAACAAGAAAACAAAACATTCGACCATCAGCTTCGACTTAAATATCTGACACATTATTTTAGTTTGTTAGATTAATTATTTAGAAAAAAAATCCCAAACCTCCATTCCTCCTTGCCGTGTACAGCGTGCGTCATTCTTCTCTCTATTTTCTATCTCCTTATCAACTGAAATGAAAATTATATATATGAAAAAAAACACAAATAAACCTCCATCTATTACTTATATCCCATTAGGCGTCTAACGACTTTCTACCAACTTAATTAATTTCACTTAACATGCATATGAGGGCTATGTACCTATACAAATTGGCCTTGATACTTTTAAAATGATTTTTTAGGAGATAAATAAATATTCATAAGAAAGATGATCATAGCATCCCAATTACACATATGATCTATGAAGTCACTAATATTCATTTAGCAATATAGACAATAGGTTGAAAATAAAGGCGTGGCTGGTTGAACATTATACCGATAAGCATGTGAGGTGCACATAGGAATCTTAACAGTGAAACAACCTTGAGGTGGCCTTTACAATAAATCGAGTCAATTCCATATAAGAATTAAAGATCATGCCCTTTTTTAAAATTTTATGATAAATTCTGCTACAGTATATTGTAAAAATCTTGATGCACACCAATCTAGAAATGTGTGTATTTGTTATAAGACACTCCACTTTAGTGATGATTCGCTAAACACACTATACACTATGACCATTACTTCAATATTTCTTGAGAGAATTTTAGAACGCATGCCTTTACCCCATGCCATGTTATATGCACTTATATTTTCGTCCCAAATTGCAAAAATCAAATCATTTCAAGGATGATTCATAGAATGAAAATCTCAAAAAGAAAATATGAACATGAAATAAATTAAAAATTAAATAAATGTTGCTAGATTTAAAACCTATTCTAAATAGAAAAATTCAAATATCCTACTGTGGAGTTAAAATATCTAAATTTTCTTATAGGAACAACCTCCTTTGTTTCGACACAATATTTTCTCATCAATTCAAAACCGCATGTTCTCAAGTAATTTTATTTTTGAATTTATATGTTGCAATGGTAATTATGAGAAAATAACCAACGTTCAAAGGACACAAAATAAATTTAATTTTAGTTTAGAATATAATAAAAATATTTTAGTAAAAAGCCACCCACACATAAATATTTATAATAAAATTTCATTTACATTATATAAGAAGGTGCCCACGTATACGCGGGCTACTTTTCTAGTTGAATAAAAAAGAATCAACAATTTAGATTTATTTGTACTACTAGTAGATAACACTGTACTAGGATTCTTCGGTTAAGAGTTTGTTTTGACCCTGATTTTTCTTTGCATTTTGCAACAGACATCGAACATCGATAAGAGGTTGGTCGACTATATCATTATTAAGAAGGAATAACTGTTCTTCCTCCAACAGCTATCAAAATTAACTAGGGTAAGTGCCGGAGCGAGATATGAAAACGAAGAATGGAACAAAGCAATCAAGGGAGTGGACAAGTTATTTTGATTTTTGAAACATGTTTTATTCCGATCTTTCCTCTGTGCTGCATTAACCCGTGACTAGTATTAGCAGCAAGTAGCACTTAATGCCAAGTAAACGCCACCGTACTTAAAGTTCAGATCTAGATCTATCACCGGGAAAGAACAAAATCTCCATCCCTTGGTTTGGATCCGCCAATCAGCTGCAGAATATGCAACAAATGGACAAAAATAAGAAGCAAAAACTTCATCGCTGAGCAGTAAACGTAGGACTAACACTTGGTGTCCAAAAGGGTCGTTTCCAAACGAAAAAACTTGTCGGTTAATGTCCAATCCATGTACACAGAAGCAGAACAGTTCCGTTTAAACGACCTGCTCAGTCACGAGACGCCTTACCTAACAATGCAACGATATAGTTGTCTCCACGTCTTAAACAAAGCCTTAAAGTACCTGAAATGTAAACATCCGGTTGGAATTGCACCGACCTCAATAGCCTCGAAGGGTAAAGATTGATGGCGTATCTGTATTACAGTAATAGTACAATTAACAGTATCGAAGGTTTATGACACGACGAGCATATAAAAAAACAAGATATGTATATTGTATAGTACAATGCTCCTGTTGTTGGGAGCAATTTTTCCAAGATACGACCAACACAACTACTTCACTGCTCACAACTCAAGTGACAAAACCGTCAATGTGACTGGCGAGTATTACACTTGACCTTACTCCTAGACCCACCAGCTCGTGACTGTTCCAAGAGTCTTGTAAACGTTCATGACCAAAGTACGAAATGAACGTGACAATGATAGCAACGGCTGCCGGATCATGAGACAGAACTTCTTATTTGAAACGAAGGATCGTGAGACAGAACTAGCTTGATGCTTCACATCAGTCGCTTGCTTGGGGTCTAGCCAATCCGAAGGACAACGTAGCACGCAACTACAGATTTTGTCTTCACTGAGGCAGTAAAAGAACTCCACAAGTGACAGGACTACTAAGGTCATTTGTTGGCTTAAGTAGAGAATTTCATTCCCTCATATGCCATAAAACATTTTCATTGATTCAAACTTGTATTATGCCTTGACCTAAGCACATTTGGATTAGTATGTACGAAATTTTGGAGACTCTAGATTTTGAGCACTAGTAACATGACATCCAAGGCAAAACAGTCTTGCATCTGGTCACCACATTCTGTCCAAGTAGTAATCTCTGGCCGCCTCGTCGCTGAGCTCCTCGGAGTAGCCGGGGCGGGAGTCCTCGGAGCACTCGAAGCAGAAGCCGCTGTCCTGCGTCGTCCGCGAGCACGATCTCCTCGACCTCGCCGGCGCCTCGGCGGCCTGTCGCTGCCTGGGCGCGCTCTGGCACCGCGTCCTCGCCGCTGACGAGGCCGTGCCGGCCATGTAGCGCGGGCTGCCGAGCGCGTCCCGGTGCGAGAGCCGCGCCCTCGCCATGCCGTCGACGCTCTTGTTGGCGGGCGAGCTGCCGTACGGCGGGGCGCCGAGGCGCGGGGTGTTGTGCGCCGTCTTGGCGTGCCGGGTGTCGCGCTCGTGGTGCTGGCTCCGCTGGATCGACAGGCGTGGGGGCTGCTTGATGGAGATCGGCGACGAGCACGACAGCGGCGCCGGCGGCATGGGCGCCGGGGTGAGGCAGTCCGACGAGTGATCGCGGGAGTGCCGGATGGCTATCCGGGAGGACCGAGAGCGGCGGTGGCACGTGTCCATCTCGACGATCCGCGGGCTGCGCTCGTAGTTGGAGTCCGCGCTGTCGGAGAGCCTCCGGCGGTGCCCCGGCGTCGTCGTCTTCAACCGGGTCTCCTCCACAGAGATCCTCTCCTACACGTTGCAATAAAACGTACCAAACGAAACGATCAGATTCATTCTGCATTGGCTGCATTGCGAGATGGAATGCAAAAGCTTGACATATCGGCACGACCATCACCTGCTCCATGGATTTCCGGTAGGAAGCTCTCGTGGCGGCGCGGGAGGAGGCCTGCTGCCGCATGAGCGCCTGCAGCCTGTGCAGAGTCGTGGCAGCCTGCTTCCTCACGAGGTAGCCACGGACCAGAGCCTGCAGCTTGACGAGAGACCTGAGAGCGCGAAGCGCTTTCCTAGCCTACGGTGTAAGATTCAAAAATTAAACAAACACAAATATTTCACTAAACAATTTGCATTAAAGAATCGCGGTTTAGGTGACAAGGCTTATGTCACGCTACGTAATTAACTGCTCTGACAGCAAACAGGAACTTTATTATAGGCAGAAGGTCACCGCTAACGCAGAGTAAACAATTGTGTAGCCGATCAACGTGCAGATTTTGTATGCAATGCAAGCAGAGTAAGAGAGCTACTCCAATAGTCTAGTAGACTAGTTCTAACGACCGGAGTATCCATTATTATGGAACGGAACATTAGAGGTAGTGACATCATATACAGGCATATAGCAATGCCTAGCCTACTTTACATACTAGTAGCCAAATAGAGTAACAAAAAAGAAGTAGAAGAATCTAACAAAAATACGGTGCAACTGTGCGAGCAGTGTGCAACTTCTGACTGACCAAAACTTTTCAAAGATAAAAAAAAAACGATGGATCTACACCGTCACAACTAACTTCTACTGTGCATTAGAACTCTGTCTCTCGGTCAAAAGAAAAAAAAAATGAAGAAAGAAGACTGAGCAGCAGAGCCAACAAGAAACCATGAACAGATCAAGTTTGAAGAACATAGTCTGATATTCAGTATACGTGGATCATACCAGGTAGCCTCTGTAAGCTTTCTGGATCACCATGGCCGCCTTCTCCCGCCGAGCTATGGCATTTTCCACCTCGCCACAATGGCACGGCCGCCTCACTTCCGAAGGCTCTACTGCTACTGCGGCGACGGCGGCTAAGGCGGCCTCCGATGGCCGCCTGCCGCTGTCTACCCCACTCCTCCTGTGCTTCGCGAAGCTCCACCTGCTCTTCTCCTTCTCCGCCCCGTCGCTCACGGCGTGGTTCTCCTTGAGGCCTTTGTGTGCTTCCTTCCGGCCAGTCAGTAGCTTCTTGAGCCATCTAATGATACGACCCATGCCGCTATGATTCCTCTCTACAAACAAAAACACGAGAAAAAAGAGTTAAGGAACGCGTCGCAACCAGATGAACAAATGTTACAGAGAGAGAAGCTGAGCAAGTGGTGCTGTGGTGGGGTAGTACTAACTTCAGAAGAAGCAAATGTGAAGAAAGAGCTTCTGGCCGGACAAGCGAAGGAGAAGAGGCCTAGAGCAAGAAACGCTGCATAAAGCTTTTCTCTTGTACCGTAGCCCAGGGCTCCCGGCAGAAAAGGAATGGCGAATTGTACGTGCAATCCAGGACCGAGAGACTTAAAAAAGAAATCCCAAACGCGATTCTCGGAAAGGCACGGGATTAAAGCGAGAGACTTTGCAGGACAAGCAGCATGCAGCGAAAAGAAGCAGGAAATTACAGGAAACGGCGAAGTTTACGGCGACGACCGGAGGAGGAACTCTAGGAGAAAACTCTGCCACCTCTCTGCAGCGATCAGTACGTCCCCCAAACCGTCAAAATTCAACTCTAGCGGCAGCGGCGGCGGCGAAAGAGCGGAGCGGATATGCGGGCGAAGGGATTAGGCCCGGGCGAACTTGACGCGTGGGTTGCAGCGGCGCACCAGCTCATGAGAAAGATTCCCCCCAAGAATCACACGGAGAGGGAAGCCAACAAACGCGCTAGCCAAGGAGACCAACTCATAGTCCCCCCCGGTTACTAGCTAGCGTACAGCGCCGCGGCCACTCCAGGACGAAGCGGCGGCGCCCCCACTAGCAGCTTAGCTCGATCCCCCCTCCCCACCCCTGCACGAGTAAAACGACGATCGGTGCAAGAAACAACAAAGCTTGTGCAGCAGAGGCAAGTAGGTAGTACACGGCAACCATCGGACCCCCGCAAGGGATCAAGATGGATCGGGGGATATGGTAGTAAGCTTTTGTACCCGTGGGGTCGTACGGCAGGGCGGCGCGGCGGGGACGGCGGCTCGATCAGCTTTACGCCGTGGCGCCGAGCGGAGCGAGCAGTCCAGCACGTCGCCGACGCTGCTGACACGGATCAGCCCAGCTTCTTCTTATTCTACACCATGCAGTGCCTGGCCCCATGTCTGTCTGAAACCTCTGATCATGCACAGCACAGGGAAGTCCTCTCTGCTAGAGTAGAGAAGATATACTGTACTGTAGATGAGTAGGAGTAAAATATTGCCGCCTGCTGGATGATCATCGATGGCGTGGACACTGAACAATAGTGTACGCAATATTTGCTGAATACACAGTACTTGTTCTCGGTAAGGTGTGGTGCAGTACTCCTACTCGTTTCTTCCCTGGCGTCACGAGACAGTTCGCAGGACTCGGCTCAATACGATTCTCTCGTTAGAGTACATAATCCCTCCGGCCTAAAAAAAAAAAAACCCTGGATTTTTTTTCCAACTTTAACAGTTCGTCTTATATAAATTTTTTTTTATAATTCGTATTTTCATTGTTGTTAAATGATAAAACATGATTAATATTTTATACGTGACTTGTCTTTTTAATTTTTTCATAATTTTTTTAAATATAAGACGGACGGTTAAATGTTGGACACGGAAAGCAGAGTTTGTCTTTTTTTTTTTTTTTGACGGAGGGAGTATACTCATACTACAGTACAGTACAGAGGATCCTCCTAATAAGAAGCAGCAGAGGTAGGTACCGGGTGCTGGGCGTGTCCTCTCGGTGCTCCCTTGCGCGGTGTCACAGTGCACCAGAACGGAGCAGGTATCCTGCCTCTTGCGGGACAATGGGAGATTGGGAGATGGGGAGGGGCTCTACAGCGTCACAACTTACGCGCCGGCGCTGCCATTGTCACTGCTCGTTGCTCAACGGCGATGTGTTGGCTATCGATTGATTGGGATTAGGTGCAGTCACTATTTTTTTAAAAGGGTAAAAGCTTTACCTCGTATATTAATAGAGATAGAGAAAAAACCGATCAAAACATGTAAAGGGGAAGAGGTGCAGTCACTATGAGCCACTGCAACTTTTAGCTGTTTGAACCTGAAATGTTTTATCCCGTTTTTTATCTCAGCTGTCTAAAGTTTAAGAGAAATCAAATGCAGTTTATAACGAAAATGCATGAATACTTCACTTCAATAATATTTTTGCACAACTGTACATAACACTGACAAACGAGCTAGTTATTTTAACTTTTCTCCATAATCAGGAATAATGCATCAACTGAGTTTAAAAGATGCTAAAAATCTTCTCAAAAATTAGCGCGAAGCTTCTATTGATAACATGTAAAGAAAATACTCCCTCCGTCCTATTTTAAGTGCAACTATAAGTTTTCGCATTCAACTTTTATCATCCGTCTTATTTGAAAATTTTTACAATTAGTATTTTTGTTGTTATGAGATGATGAAATATGAATAGTACTTTACTTGGGACTTATGTTTTTAATTTTTTTCAAAAGATTTTCAAATAAGACAGTCGGTTAAAGTTGGGCGTGGAAAATCGTGGCTGCACTTAAAATGGGACGGAGGGAGTAATAATAACTAGTATGGTGACCCGCACAGATTACGTGGGTAGCATTCTTTTTTCTCGTATAATGGCGCCGGCATATATATTTCCATATTTTATTATTAAAATATATTAAAATAGCAACATAACTTTTAAATTATGCACTAACTGGACCAAACTAACTAATGTGTACTCTCTTCGTCCCAAAAAGAAACAACCTAGTAGAGGATGTAACCCCTCTTGTCCACATACATTGTCCTAGGAGGGGTCACATTCCCTCCTAGGTTAATTCTTTTTGGACGGAAGGAGTAATATTTATATTGTACTATATATGTGTGATAGTTATTAATTATTTTTTAACTCCAATCTTCTTTTAAACATCTAAAAAAGTATTAATAGTGGCGGAGTTGACGGTGCCATCAAGCCCGGGTGACTAATAATGTCTTTCGGTGATCGATTATAGGTGCCAATTGCTAACGAGAGTGAAGATGGCGGAGCCTGGGCGGTCGCCCAACCTGGCCATGAAGTGGCTCCGCCACCGAGTATTAAGCTTCTTCCCAAATGAAAAATAAGTGTGCAAGTATTACACTTTGAATTGGAGGAAAAACATAGGAATTTTAGAGGATTTTAATCCTATAGGAAAATTTCCTATGAAGCCCTTTGAAATAAAGGATTGAATCCTATCAAATCCTTTAAAATTCCTATGGAATGGACAATCCTATAGAGATTTTGGAGGAAATTTAGCAAGAGCTTCAACCTCTTGGTAAATTTCCTTTGAGTCTATCTCTCTCATCCAATTCCTGTGTTTTTCTTGCGGTTCAATCAAACGGCCATTCCTGTGTTTTTTCTGCGTTTTGCAATCCTCTATTTTACACTTACATTTCTATCAAAATCCTACGTTTTTCCTATTCCTACGTTTTCTCAATCCTGCCAATCAAAGGGGTGAAAGAACTAAGGGCCCCTTTGAATCACAGGAATGAAAAAACAGAAGAATAGGAAAAACATAGGATTCTGACAGAAATGTAAGTGTAAAACAGAGGATTGTAAAACACAGGAAAAATATAGGAAGGACCGTTTGATTGGACCACAGGAAAAACACAGGAATTTGAGAGATAAAGACTCAAACGATTTATTCCATGAGGTTCTACCTCTTGTTAAAATTCCTCCAAAACTTGTATGGGAAGAGGCATTACATAGGAATTTCATAGGATTCCATAGGGTTCATTCCTTTGATTCAAAGGGCTTTGTAGGAAAAATTCCTATAGGGATGAAATCCTCTAAGGGCCCCTTTGAATCGCAGGAATGAGAAAACATAGGAATAGGAAAAACATAGGATTTTGATAGGAATGTAAGTGTAAAACAGAGAATTGCAAAACATAGGAAAAACAGAGGAATGGTCGTTTGATTGGACCGCAGAAAAAACATAGGAATTAGAGGAGAGATAAAGACTCAAAGGAAAGTTTCCAAGACATTTTACCTCTTGTTAGAATTCCTCTAAACCTTGTATGGTATTAGGCAATCCATAGGATTTTCATAGGATTCCATAAGATCCATTCATTCGATTCAAAGGGCTATATAGGAAAAATTCCTATAGGAATGAAATCCTCTAGGCCCCTTTGATTTGGAGGAAAATCATAGGAATTTTGAAGGATTTAAATCCTATAGGAAAATTTCCTATGAAGCCCTTTGAAACAAAGGATTGAATCCAATCCAATCCTTTGAAATTCCTATGGAATGGACAATCCTATAGAGATTTTGGAGGAAATTTAGCAAGAGCTTCAACCTCTTGGAAACTTTTCTTTGAGTCTATCTCTCTCATCCAATTCCTGCATTTTTCCTGCGGTTCAATCAAACGTTCATTCCTATGTTTTTCCTGCGTTTTGCAATCCTTTGTATTCCTATCAAAATCCTGTGTTTTTCCTATTCCTACGTTTTCTCAATACTGCGATTCAAAGGGGGCCTAAAATTTCTATGAATTTCCTTTGAATCAAATGGGGCCTAAAATTCCTATAAATTTCCTTTGAATCAAATGGGGCCTAAAAGAGGGAGGAGAAATTAAATCCTGAACGTTCCTTCCCAGATGGATGGTTGGATCAGTGGCTACTGCCAATCCGTTGGGTACACGGCTACTACACATCAGTCTTCCGTAATCAGTCGGGGTATCTAATCAAGAGGATAGAGTTGCGTGGCTACTCCACAAGCCTACAACGACAGTGGAAATGTAGTAGTGCTACCTCGTTTGATCCACCAGCACCAATGTGGGCATTCTCGATCGGTTCCATGTGGGCTGTTGCCTCCGGACTTCCATCGATAGATTGGGTAGGATAACGACCTCACCTCACTATCGTTTGTACTGTCATTTGATCCATTTATTCCGATAAAATTTAGTTTCCGATCAAGGTTTCCCGAGATTGGTCTACTGTTGTCAGGACATATCGACGCATTGTGCCACTGGCCAACCAGGGGGAGCCTTTGATTGCACGAAATCTTATGAGTAACTCAGCCCACTGTCTCCCGAAAATATTACAGGCTGTTCCAACTTTCAACCCTGATGGCGCAAAAATATCAGTAAACTGCACGTAAAATATTCAGGTACAAAATTGCAAACGTAGTTGAAGATTACCAAGTGCCTGCGTCTTTTTTACTACTGCTGTCAGTACTGTCAGTAACGGATTAACATCCTTCAACTACAAATTAGAGTGTGTTTAGTTGGGGAAAAAGAATTTTTGGGTGTCACATCGAACGTTTGACCGGATGTCGGAAGGGATTTTCGGACACGAATGAAAAAACTAATTTCAGAACTCGTCTGGAAACCGTGAGACGAATCTTTTGAGACTAATTAAGCCGTCATTAGTACATGTGGGTTACTGTAGCACTTATGGCTAATCACGGACTAATTAGGCTTAAAAGATTTGTCTCGCGATTTCCCCCGTAACTGTGCAATTAGTTTTTCTTTTTATCTATATTTAATGTTTCATGTATGTGTCCAAAGATTCGACGTGATGTTTTTGGAAAAAAAATTTGGGGAACTAAACATGCCCTTAATGGTTTGTGTTGACTTGCCTCCTTGCCTGTTGTCATACCAGTATGAAGTACTACTCCATATGCTAGTTCTAACTGCCGTATGTTACGAATAGCATGGAATCAGTATAACTGCTATACTACTTTCATGTTGAAAAGTTTGTGTAGTAAGTACAACTGTGCAAGTACGCTGACGACTATTCGGTGTTAAATATGCCAATCCAGACTCCACTGTACTCCTCCAATCGGCGTTCATTCCAAATGGAGCAGACGGTACTTAATAATGTATAATGTTTGCTAAAATTAGAACAAACATTTCTCTGGGCCGGTCAGAGACATAAGGCTTTTTTTAACGGTTGATGATATTAAAGAAGTTATAAAAATTACAACCCTGATGTTGCAATAAATAGAAATACAAGATTTGCCATTAAATAAAAAAATTCCACATCTGGGAATACTAAATAAATGCGAGCAAACGATCTACCAAGCTGACGAACTCTTGTACGCGAAAAATAAAGGAAGGAGTGTCAGCCACCATTTAATCATATTGGCATGTTCCTTTAGCAAATAAGCAAACCGATGCAACCAAATAAGTCAGGCGACCCGAACTCTAAAGACAACGCTCCGATCACTATTGGGGAGGGTCTCTTTCCCGCTCAGTAACCCCTTATAGTTTTAGGTTACAAACCAGGACACCTATCTTTAGTTTC